TCAGCAGATGCTGCGGACCCTTCTCTGCTAATGTTTTAGGAGAGGCTTGGCCTCTCCTGATATATTTCCCTTTTTTCCCTTTCCTTCTTAAAGCACGCTAAATTACTGCACCTACCTCCTGTGGATTAATCTGCAGGGATTACGCAAGCAGTTGGACGAACTGAAGAACACTTTTGATCGGCATGACACCAGAATAGCCGAAAATTCGCAGCGCATTGAAGTCAACGAACGCACGGCTCGCTTATTCAGCGTACGCATTTTTGGCTTTGATTTCGGCAAATGCAGAGTGGAAGCAACGGACTACCACGGTGAAAGTGACCAGACCCGCCGATCTTTTCCGTTTACTTCTCAGTGATGGTATGCGCCGATCTGAAAATAAGTTCCCTCCAAATCCAGGCTCTGCATTGGGCCGGCCACGAGTCCCACAAATTTCTGATCGTCCGCTCGCTCACATCTGGCGATAAATAGCTGTTTGACAGCTGGAAGCGCTTCCTTTCCAAAGACTTTACTCCCCATGGCCTCGTAATTTCTATTCGCAACGACCTTACCAAAATGCAATATCTCTCAGCTCTGCGCGCAAAAAAGCTGGCTAAACGTTTGCAGGCTAATAGCGTCTACGCCACTGCCTCTGATAATCGAATTGGTATCGATGCACCATCACGCCGACGCTGGTTTCACGCATATCAATACCTGCAGCAATTCTTAGCTTCGCCTCAGCCGTAACCAACTTTGCCGACTGCCCAATATTTCAGCGATGCTTGTGATCATGTTTTTTTTTTTTTAAATAGCGTGGTTTTTACATTCTCTTTAATTTTCTTTTTCTTCGATTTTCGTTGGTTCTCACGTTACGTTGCTGTTTCTACTCCCCTCCCCCCTCCTTCCTACGCTACGCCCTTTCGTTTAGTTCCCTTATAGGGTGTCATCATTGCTCGTGTTCATTGTAGAAGTGCTATGGGCGGCTAACCGAACCGCATTCCTTCGCAACTGTTCGTATTTTAGACCCACAGACAACTTGTACCTGAGTTTATAATGATTCCACGGCAATCGGATATTTCATAACTCGAAGATGTATTATTTGATAACAATTTAGCGTATATCTCTGTAGATATGTTTTTGATGTAACTTCCCAAATAAAGTAAAAATACGATACCTTTATGATTTTACATTTATACAGATTCAGTTCTCGACAATTAATAATGAAACACAATTTCTCAAACACATTTGTCACATTTCCTAAATCTTTTAAACTAGCTTCTTCGGAATTTCCTTTGCACAGTTAATGTAACGAGGTAAACGTGGCGGAATGGTAGGAGTACCAGTTCTCCCGGAAACAGAGTATGGGTTCCCACATCCTCGTAGTGATTTCCCGTCAAAACTACGCCTGAAGCAGCATAACCATGAACATATAAAGAACAGCAGGAAGAACGGGAATGTTTTTATGGATTTGATTATGCACGCAGAGCCTCGAGGGAAATGGCGCCTCTTTGCATGAATGTCCTGGCCAAAATGGTACAAGTCTCTCGTTTGATGACATGGATGGCGCTAATGAAAATGCGAAATACAAAAGAAAAAAAAAC